AAATACCAGAGAATTTCACAAAGAGTGTTCTGAAACATGTCACAGTGAGTTAAATGACAGGATCTTTCTACTGGCTCACTATGTATCACTTAGGGAAGAACGTTTTATTTAAGGCACAAGCCAGGGGCTATGGATGACCAAAAAATGAAAATGAGAATGTATTGAACAATCAGGAGCCAAAAAGACTGTTAACAAATGCATTTGAAGGTTGAAGACTACAGAGACTGTGCTTCTGCATGACATGTTAACCAGGTCCGCAGAACCTTGCAAGTGCTTAGAGAGAAATAATCCTCAAAAAGGTGAATTCCTCTCCTGGGAGTGCATCAAGGGAGGTTAAGTGATTTGCCCAGACTAAAAAGAGACCCATGTCAGAGTTCAGTTTAGGATGTTGTGCTTTGTAACTACTGGCTTTTGTCTTTCTCCTGAAACTTATGACAATATATATTCAGGTGATTAAAAAGAGAGAAATGTGGTGTTTATTTAAAGTAGATTTTAGAAGTGCTTGATCTACACATATAGCAAGCATTCTGTTACAGAAGGGCATATGAATTCCCAAGGAATTACTTTTGGTTGAAGGAACAAATAATGTATATAATATAATAGTTCAGGAAGGAGTTAAAAGAAATGTCAGAAATCACAGCATTAGGGCCATTTTTGTTTACTTTATAATTTACTGACCTAAATTTGCCAATGACATAGAATTGGGAGAGTAGGATAAAGTAAATACAGAGGAACAGAGCAAATAAATTCAAAATGATCTGGATAGATTCAGCTTAGAGGCTGGATAAGTAGCTTATTCAGCTCAGTTGTACAGAAGTGTGAAGTAATAAGATTAAGAACTAAAAATAATCAAAGAGGATAGAACCAAAAAGAAAATACAACAAATAACACAATCCCAGAAGAAGAGTAGACTAAGTACTTTTCCCTGTTCATGGGGGAGAAGATACAGCTTGCTGATGGGCAGAGCACTGGGGCAGAGCACTTTGGCAGCTGGCGCGGGGGTGAGGGGCGCTGAGCACCCAGGGACAGCCCAGCTGTGCAGAAGCAGCTGTAACACGCGCTGTGGCGGGCAGAGGGGTCGCACCCGGCGGGCAGCACCTGACTCCTCGGGGCTGTGTTCCAGAGGGAAAGGAAATGGACAAACTGCAGATCGATTGTGTTTAATTATTTAACGTTAATCTGGCAAAAAAAAAACAAAACAGTTGGTGAACTGGGACTCACTGTGTGGGGCACGTATCACAGCTCTGGCTGTCCCTGCTCCAAATTGTTTTCTGTTGACATAGCATTTTTATTCTCATTTCAGTTCAACTGTATGGTACATTTTTTCTCCTCCACACCACATTTCAGTACCTAAAGCACTGTGATCCGTCTAAACAAATAAAACTTTATGAGTTATCTATTAACCAGGTTTGTGGTAGTGGTAGGGAATTAAAAAAAAAAAAAAAGTGTATTATTATTAAGACTTGAGGAAGACGATGTAAACATTTTCTTGTTATTAATACAGACTTTATTTTACCCTCATATAGTTAGAAAACTGAACCAATAAAACTGTAAGTAGATTCTATTAAAAAATAACACAAAGTCTTAGATATCTTTTCTTTAAAGCAGAAATGGTCCTCCACCAAATAATTAAAGACACTATTAACAGCTGCCTTCTGTTCAAAAGCAAGCTACTTTTTCTTTAAGAGGTACTTTTATTCTGTTGGAGAAATTATACTGGATATTCTCTGTCTAAAGTAGCAAAATTACTCCATAATTGGATTTGTTCAGAGTAATGGTAACAAGATTTAAAACACAGTTGCAACACAGGAAAACAGTGTAAAAAGACTATTCTATGTCTTCAGCTGTCAACTAAAAGTATATTGAATTTTGCAGAGCAAATTCAAATAAAAGTCTTGAGATTAAAAGTGATAAAGCAGCATCAGTGAGATCAGAATCCCTCCAAAAATTAGATTAAATCCTCCTCAGGACCATAAAAACGTTATTATCTTGACATGAGTAGATCAATCATTGCAAGACAATTATCTTAACAAGTTAAAGTTGCTTTGATACAGGAATTTTAGACTATAATTTTTTTTCTTCTCCTTGGTATGAAAATAGACTGAGTATGGTCCAGGCATTCCTGAGCAGATACTGAGAAAGACACATCTAGGCCCTTATGGTGACAAATAAGCCATAAAGTCTATCTGTAAACATCAGTAAAGTCCTCCTTTAAGCAACAAAAGCTTACAATATATTGGATTGTGAAACAGAACATTAACTTTTGTCATGATATAGTTTATTGACTTTAGTATGGACTTACTTAACATTGGTTTTTGTCTCTTCACTTCTTTAATTCTCAAGTCGTTCTTGTAGCAGAAATACTATGTTGCCTATTATCAGAAAGCTCATGTGCCTTATCCTGGAAATTAATGCTCATACTATATCTCTGAAGATGACTAGTGTTATTATTAATAAATACAGAACTGAACAATAGTGTGAGAATAGTCACAAAATAATCAGAGCCAGAGCCAAAAGGGAGGGATCCCAAAATTTTAGATTCAATAACAGCAGAAACAGGACTTCAGCCTGCTCAGGAATACCGTTGGTATTCAAAAAGAAAATATGCGCTGCTGATCACATAGCTTTTTCAACCTTCTTTAATCCTTTTTGTTTCCATTTTTAATTGGGAATTTCATGTGCCTTTATTGTGTCTCCTGGAATATTTAAAGTGTATTTTGTCCACATTCAATTACTGTGAAATAGTTTTGTGGGCATTCTTGTTAACGTTGGTGTCATTGACCCAGCTTTGGATTGAAAACTTGCTCGCTGCCTACAGATTTAATTCTGAGGCATATCAATATGGTTCTGTGTCAAAGGATGTGGCAAACATGGGCTTGTATTTCAGATCGTAAAGGACCTTTAATGTTATCTTAAAAAGTGAGTGCTTTAAATTCTTTCCAGATGAAAAAAATCATTTGTATTTTGCATCTTCTGAAAGGTATATTAAATCAAGTTTGGGTTTTGTTGGTTTTTTTTTTTTGTTTGTTTTGTTTTTTTTTTTTTTTTTTTTTTTTTTTTTTTTTTGCTAGTTAGTTTTAGAAATTATTTCCTGCCAAATGCACTTTCAGTAGGAATCACCTCTTAAAATGATGGCATAGTATGGAACCAGTATGGAAAGCAGTTATAAACATTCCTTACAATGTGGAAGCTAATTTTGACTCTAAAGGAGCAAAGCAATTCCTCTACACTATAAATGAGTTATCTACATGTGAGCACTAAGGCAAAGAATCTATCTTATTAAAGTTGCAGTATATTGCAAATGAAGACAGGTCATTTTTAATGAAAACAAAATTGTCTATCAAATATCATAGAAAAATGTACCTAATTTGCAATATTATAATAGATTTTTAAATATTTTATCATCTGTGGGAGTTCATAATGCAAATTATACATTCCTAAATATTGGACTTTTATACATTTGAACTACTTAACAACACTGGTACAAGATACAATACTGAAATAAAAGACTTCATAGATGACTCTATGTCCTTCAAGGACAGCTGGTATCAGATAGCCTTACATAAATAGTAAGTTTAACATTCCATACTGGCTTAATTCCCACATAGTTTTTCAAGTTTCATTAACCCAGACACCTCATAATAATTATGATAAACAGACATTGTCATCAAAAATCAGCAGAAATTTTATAAGATTAAGTACAATGCAATACATCTTCCTTGCTCACAGAGTCTGTATAATAAATTACTCCCAGGCTTCAGGATGAGGGATTGTATAATTGAGCAAAACAGATCAATTTTTAAGGATGCTTATTTAAATGCAAAACAGACTTTTTGAGAATGGTAAACTTGATTAAAAATCCCTCTTTAAGTGCAAATCACAAGCAACAATATCTAATGCTCACAGGCCATAACCATCCTATTAATAATACAATTTATTGTTTGGATACAATTGTCAGGTCTTAATGTTGTGGCAGCTGTAATCTAATTTAAATATTAGAAACAATGAACTCCACAGTCTTCTAAGGTGGCTGAAATACACACAGTGGCTGAACGACTTGCATTTGGTTATTGAAATATATTGCATCAGATTAAATGATCAGGCTTTGAGTGTTATTCAGACATCATTTTTCCCCTCTTTAATGGTGTGTTCCATAAATTGTACTATTTCTGCTATTGTGAAGATATTAAAATCAGATCCAGAAATGACTGAATAGGATTTAGGCATCCTAGTCCTGGATATTTTTTAAATTGTTTCGATCTTCACATGCTGGCAATACTAGATTTTTAAATTTTTTGTAAAATTTCTTGGATAGGTGCAGTTGTGCTGTTGCATACCAAGAGCATTACAGACTTGAGACATCTGGACAGGCTGTGACTATTTCATCCTGTAAGCAAACCTGAATTTGAAAAAACTAGTCATTCCAATGTAACTTCCAATAAGGGACTGACTCGGGAATTTTTGGCGATCACATGCCATAGAACTGTAAAACAGAGCTCTCAAATGTCACTTTCTTTAAAGGCATGAAAGGGGCATTAGCTCCTTCTCCTCTTGCAACTTTACACTGTCATCTCTTTTGCACCCTTGGCGCAGGGGATTAGCACTCACCTTCTAATTACACATTCAGGTTACTTTTCAAATGCTTTTTTGTATGTGTTTATATGTGTGTGCTGCAACACACATGAATTTCAGTCCCCGTGAGAAGGAGATGAATCCAAGTCTCACACATCCTGGGTACTCTAATGTTCTGCTACTCTATACATTTACATACGCATGAAAGGATAGCAGTGGCTTGTCTTCATAACTGGAAAATATAATTATGCTAAAGGTTGCCCTGTGTTTCTGAAGTCCATGATAGATTTGGGAATGCAAAATTTCACTCAATGTACATCTGAAACTTGTGTGGTCTTCTTTCTTAATTTTACTTTCAGAGAGTCCCAGAACTGAACAACAGAACAACTTTCCAAAGAGAAAGAAGTGAAAGCTCTTTACCTTCAGTGACAGTTTTGTAGTCAGCATCGGTGATCTGATTTCCTTCATCACTGTATCAAACTCCAACAACAACAGCATCTGCTTGAAGAAACAGAACTTTCCACCAAAACCCCTTTATTTTTTAACAGCAGAATGAAGAATGAGACATCTGATCTTTGAAACAGTCTGAAACTTTGGTAAGACATAAGCATTGTAATTGGAATATTTATTACTTTAATAACATCTATTACTGCAATGTTAATAGCTGTTTTTTATGACCAATGAACTACTTATTAGCAGCTCTATGATTGTGCAGTTGAATTATGAAAGAATGATGTTTGAGTTAGGGATTTTAATGTAGTTCATATCCCTGCATAGGTTTGGGAGTCAAGGTGTTTTCACTCTAAGTTCACCCAGTCTTCTCTGAAAGTTTTGGAAACAGACTGTCTATCATTTATTACAATGTTTTGCAGCACAAAATAAGACTCCCTGTGTGTTTTAAATGTTTCCATGCTGTTGGAGTCTGTTTCACTGAAAATGAGTGAATTTCAGGAAATAGGACCAAGTGTAACCTGCTTTGCTCACTGGAGCAGCAGTGGCTCCCACTCCCTGCTCAGCTGCTCCCGCGCTCACCCTGCACTGCTCCAGGGCTGGCTGCAGGCTGGTTTGCAGGGCTGCGCTCCTTCACAGCAATGAAGGCTGAACACAGCTTTAGCAAAAATAGAAATTCAGCTGCTGTCTATTGCAGGAAAACTGGATTGACAAATTCAGCAGGCAAAGTGGTCTGACAAATTCTGTTTTGCAGCTCTATTACAGGATTGGTTACCTCATCTAGGGTATAGGACACAGTGTGAGGAAAAGGGTAATAGTTTAGCAAATATTAATTACTATTTAGCCTTATGGTTAAATGATTATACATCATTACACTTGAGCACATGAAAGCTTTTCCTGTGTCCTGGAAATATGGCCTTTGACTTGCATCCCCATCTTCCTCACTGTCCCTGTTGTCTCCCCTTGCCACACGTCCTGTTTTACTCTGTGTAGCATTGGATGGCGATGGCAATAGTCAAAGTCATTTATTAGCTAACTGAAGTGAAGTTAACATGAGCATAAACTGCGTATCAAACACTGCTGAAGAAACAAGAGGTTAGATTTTAAAACACAAGTCATTAAGCTCTCTGCTTCATATTTTGCTTCCACAGTCCATGTGTTTTCATACATGAAAGCTGATCACTGCAAAGAAATGTCAGCTAGCTCAGTTATCAATAGATAAATCAATTCTATCTACATCACAATGTTGCTTCATCACCAGCAATCCTGTAGAGCTAGGAGTGCATCTCCCTGAAAATGCTTTAAATGGCCTGATGATTCCTATCTTAGAGAAATGTGAATCAGAGACTGTTATCCTATAATGTCATACAGCTGCTCTTCCTCAGTAGACTGTCATATCCAATTGTCTGTGCTTTTCTAAGCATGAAATGTCTGTGTGTAGGCATGTGCACATGCAATACACAATATTTGTATGGTTTTGCAATGCTTTTCCTCGTATGTGTTCACCCTGATGGAGAGACAGCCATTTGAAAACGCCATGAAAGGTCATTTTACTCTAAGTGTTTGCTGAATCAATGAATCATTTTGGTTTACAGTAGAACCTAAACTGTGCTTGGCAACATCCAATAAATCCTGATGTTTGCAATCTAGAAATAAAAAGAGAGGAGGAGAATAAAATGTCACCTATGTTTCAATGTTTTTATATTGGCTGTATTGGAGAGAAACTTAGAGGAACAGAAATTAACCAATTTCATGAAGCTGACTCAGTGTACCAAAGGAAAAAATAGATGAGAGGGGCTTAAGCTAGGAGCAGATCTGATTTTAAAATTAGAAGAAGCAGGAAACGTAAGTGCCAGGCTGGGCGAGCCGAGGACCCAGCCAAGGAGGAAGAACGTAGCCGACTCAGTATGAGTGATAAAGTGTGCTTCAGTTTATTGATTTTCATTACAGCCTTTTATAATCTTTCTACTAATTATGCCTACTAGTCACTAGCTGGTTGGCTTAAGCTCTAAGGGTCGTATTCGCATGGTCCACCTACTTGCAGTTAGCTTACAGCACAAGTTTCTCATAACACTAAGTTTCTCATGCTACTATTTCTAATTCCTCTTGACTTGTTTTCGATACACAACAGTACCGTAACACAATGTTTCTCAGACCACCGTTATCATAACACTAGGTTTCTCAGACCACTATTCCTAATTCCCCTTAGCCTGTTTTCGACACACCACGGTACACAAGGCTGAAGCGTCCTTGACATTCCTCATGTATCAGCAGCTGCGAGCAGCTGTAGGCAAACCCTAGTGAGGCCCAGCATCAGCGGCTAGAACAGGCTCTGATCGTACAATTGCTCGGTGGGCTCAGGACCCTTGTCTCTGAGCCATTCTCCAACACGTAAGTAGCAAGGTGCAAATTTATGAAGACTGCTGAGGAAAGGACTGTAATTTTGACTTTGCTAAGGAAGAAAGGAGATATCCAACACCTCAGGTGACACAGTCAGATAATGTTCACTTTAGCAACCATGTTTTTTTCTATGAGACAAAGATAAATGCAAATATGATGGAAAAGCTAGAGAAAAGGAAGTTAAAGCACTTAGTGTATGAGATCCTTGATGAAAGATTTTGGTTAAAATTTCATTAAAAATAAATTTAATTTCATGCAGATCAGAGGATTGCTTTCTAATTTAGGAAGTAACAGCATTGCCTAATGGAGTATATAGTCCACTGCTCTGAGCCTGTAAGCTGCTATTAACAGAGCAAGTAATTAAAATATTTAGATTAGTGTCAAACAGGGATTACAATAAGAAACTTTAGACTAGGACTAACTTTGACAGTTAAGTAAAGGTTTATTAATTTTTTTGTGAACTTGAGGCTGACTTCAGCTTCCAGTATGGCTTGTCTCATATAAGGTTCAAGGTGAAAATCAAAATAAGTAATGTTATCATTCAGTGTATTAATATACAATGAAAGCTTGCACCCCTATGTGAAACCACAACGAAAAGAAAAACCAGAAAATTATTATATTTTTGCAGTTAATTTCTAGTGTACATGTGTTTTATGTAATATTTTATGCTGAATCTGGCTAACCTGACTGTCTGTCATAGCCTACGTTAATCTAAACGTTTGCCAAGACAGTTTTGGCTTTGGCTGTCTAGGATGTTACATTTGTGATTTTAACCCATTTTCTCTAAAATGTCCTTTATGCCACTCACGCTATGTAAAACACCATTACTGAAACATGATCTAAGCATATTTTTTCTATTTTATTTCTAAAATAAATATTATTTATATTTTATTCTCACTATTTCAGTGAGAAATACTCAGTTCAAGAGCTTGAAAAGTAGATATATTTGTGCACTCTTTGATAAATCACATTTTGAAGGAAATGCAACATCAAAAGCTACATTTAGGTAGCATGCCTCTTTAAGCTTCTTCTAAAAACAGAGACATGAAAATTCAGAATTAACGTGGAAAATCCAGAGAAAAAAAGAATGACTTGTCAGATTTAATGTAGAATTTGTTAAGCCATTATTTGAATTAAAACGTTAATGTAATATATTTCATTCCATTTGTAATTTCCATTAAAGTGTGTAATTAATTCAGTTTTAAAAATCTTTGTGGATCATGTATATACATACTTGAGATTGGTGAAATGTATACTGTTTTTTCCTAGGTTTATAAATTACGGGTTTAGATACATTGTTAGTATGTGAATGGTATGTATTAGCTATTCATTCTGATGATACATTAGCATAACTCTAAACAGAATATTTTCCTTGTGCACAGTATATTAAATAACAAGTTAAGTAAGGTAAATATTTAGGTTTACTAATTTGAAACAATGTAGTTTTGCAATGTATATTTTTATTCTGAAAGTACTGTTATGATTAGAAGGATTATGTACTCTATTCTCACTGTTTAATAGTTCATGAGTAATAGATCAAATATAACCATATATAGGAGAAGCTGCTGATCTCTCTTTCATTGATCTAGCCTCAAAATGCATGTTGGATGAGTGTGACATAATGAAACATATTGGTTCTCCTCCATTGTTAGCCAGGGACATGTCTTTATGAGATCCTTTTCTGGCTAGCCAATAAATGGGATGGAGATACACCTAGAACCAAAACCTGCTTTAAGATACAACTCCAAATTTTGCTTAGGAGGAGGGCTATGACAAGGGCTATGATTTCTGGTCGGAAATATTGACCATTTGGAATGAATCTGAAATACAAGCCGTGTGGACACGACAGCTGTTCTTCAGCTCAAACCTGTGACCGTCATTGTGGGCAAACACACCCTTAGAGCAGTGCGCCTATCCCCTGAATCCCCTGCACTGTGGCCAAAGAGGAGCACTTCCTAGGAATGTCCCTGTTTTTGACTTGCACTGTCCATTCTCTGTTGAGGCTTGTGTTTGCCGGGTTGGTGTCCACGTGCCTTATAAGCGGCGTTCTGTCGATGCTGGTGCTTGGGTTGACCCTCGCTGCCATGCTGGGAGCAGGCAGCCGCCGGGCACCGAGGGTGCCAGTGCTGTGCAGCCCCTCCCCACACTGCTGTGCTGTCCCTCTTATCCGCGTCCAGGTCGAGCATCCCTGCAGGGTCCCTGTCCCAGGGGGTCACCTGAGAGTGTGCATGGGGTTTCTCAACCACACAGTCCTGCTTATGCTCCATATCTATGTCAGGAGACTTCTTTAGAGGAATACAAATGAGAATAAAATTCAGACTGGCATATAGGAGAGAACCGTACATCCCAAAAATTCTTGCTGGGTTTCATACCACTGTTTATAAGAACTGAGGGTTTCTTGTCAAAGTATTGTCAACTGTGAGGCCTCCTGTGGATGATTAATTTCTAACACCTAATTTGTTTTTAAAAGAAAAAAGTGCTGCCTCATTAAATAATATAGAACATATAAAAGAAAAACTGAAGGAAGAAAAAGGCTGGTGGCATGGAAATCTGATATCCACAAAAAGTGCCTAATTACAATCAGGTTAGCCAGAGAAATGGCCAAGCTAAACAACTACATATATTGTTGGGGTTGCCTGAGGGCTATGCTGGCAGCAGCTCTGTTTGAAGCAGTTCAGTATTAGGGGAGCTGTTAGCATCCTCCCGCTTTTGTTAGATCAGCTATTTTGCTGGTTTGTCCCTACTTCTTTTATTTTTTATTATATTTTTTTTTAATAGACTGAACATTATCTATACATTTCCCATTCCATTTTCTATAGGAAATTGATAAAAAGCCTTGAGGATTCCTGAAACCCTGAGGTTTCTAGAAGATTACTTTATTTGGTATTTGGAGTGTGACACAAGAGACCTACCCTGAATGTCAGTAATTTGCTCTTGATAGACACAAGAAATGCTAGCAAGAGTTACCTAAATAAATAAAGTGGATACAAAGCAGATCACGACATGATTTAGGTTGGTGATCTCAGGTAGACCAGAGCATAGAGGGTAGATACTCCAGATTTACACCCTCTTTGCACCTCAAAACCTGCTGAGAGGCAGCAACTGACTCAGATTTAGAGGTTCACTCAACACCAACTAGATGTTGTAGCTGGTTTTGGGTCAGACCTCAGGCAAGGAAAGATTATTACAATTTTAGGTTAGACACTGATTTCACACTTGTCACCTCCTAAGAAGCAGATATGGGAAAGAAAAGAGTGTGAACAGATACTTGAGAAAATCAGGACCCCACTGCATTCAAAAACCCTACAGTTATCCACTGTGGAGCTGAGGTTCACTGTTATCTGTTCCATACCAATGCCGGTGAATTTGCTTCTCATTTATTTAGCAAAATAAATTATGATTTCACCATGCGTCCTTCTATAGACTCTCACAAGAAAGAAGTCAGCACTACAACCCAAGTTAAAGTAGATGCTGCATCTGCCCAGTAGCCCTCACTGGGAGGGGATCCCCACCAGCTAAAAAACATTGCAGCCTCTGATCCAGAAGTCACTTTATTAGTCTTCCTGTGTACTTTGCACAGATAGCACAAAGGCTGGGGAACTCTAATTGTTGGAATGAACTGACCAAATTCACTCTTGACTGAACTTCTGAGCATCCTTATTTTTCTTCTAATTTACTGAATGTATCAGTAAGAAATAGTTACATTGACCACCCATAAAATCCTGCTGTTTGCTTTCCATAAAACACCACTGTGGTGTAGAGAATACTGAAAATACTACAGTGTTCTCCTTTATTGATCTGCTATAATCTGTGGAGTTTGAAGAATGTTCGCTCTTACAGTAGTTGTTCTATACTATGTACTACACATGCAACGGTGGTATTGGTGTTACATTCATTATTACCTTGAATGAGTCATGATCCTTATTTCCTTGGGTTTTTTCTGTAGTAATGGCAAGCTGCATAATAACACTGGTAATAGAGCACTTGATCCCACTTCTGCTTACTTAAGTATCCTCAATTTTTTGTACTTTGATGGAAGTTTAAAAATACAATTCCTAAGCATTCACTTAGTACATAGACAGCTAACTAATAGTCTTTATATTTATCAGTGTTGCAAATTATGAATTTCATGGCATGTAGTTTTCTGCATAATAATTTTTCAAATTTTATGACAATTGTTGAAAATTAAAATAAATCTGTGAAGATGCTTCTTGAAAGTGAACAAGAGAGAAATCAGCTCATCCCTCATTAGCTGAAACTTAGTTCAATGTACTCACATTATGAGTATTTGAAAAACTCAGTTCTGTTTCAGTCATCCTGCACACCATGAGCAAACCATTGCTTATGTCCCTTCAGTGACTTGTTTTTCCAGTACGTTGCCCAAATCTCATCTCATTTGGACAGAGCTGTGTGATCTGTGGATGGTGTCATAATGTCTCTTTACTTATTTTTAAGGTCAGTGTTGATAATCTTGAAAACTGGTTATTATTGACAACATAAGATGTTCACTTCATATCCCATAACTGCTGTTGATTGCCTTTTTGATTTAGCTAGTGGCAAAAATGTTCTATGTGAAAGGGACTTGTAAGAACATGGGCACAATGTTTATTAATTATAATTTAATTGGTAATTATTGACTTTTTCGGGTTACTTTTCTCTTATACCCTGGAAATGTAGTGATTACTTTAGAACAAGACTTCATCTTTATAGTTGTAGCCTATTGTGGTCTGTTAGCCATATCATCTTCAAAACTTTGGAGATGAATATATATAGTAGTGGGTTTTAATTAGTTGGTATGATTTTCATGAAAAGTCATTGAAACTCAACTCTAGACATAACTGTTGCCAACCGCCTTATTTTTTAAACAAGCAATTTGTAGTAAATCCTAGAATCCTTATTATATATGAGATTTGCCTTCTATTGGATACACAGATGCTCCAAGTACCATAGAAGAAAATAAAAAGCCACTAATTAATCGTTCAAAAGATAGGACCTTGATCTTTTATGCTTTTATCTTCTTTGAATACTAGTGAGTAAACCAAATCAGATTAAAGGAGGAATGCCTGTCTCTTATCCCTTAGACTTGGTGAAATCTGGGCTATTCTGTTGAGTGTCAGCTATATTTGTGCTTCAAAATCCAAACATCTGTTTTCAGGCAGTTTTCTCTTTTTTTATTAACCTTCATCACAGCCCAACATCTGTGCAGTAATTCTGTATCAGAATTCTAAAGATTTTAAACACACAACATACGACAGAGGTCAATCTAATAACAAGGTTGCCTGGTCACCCCTGAATATGAAAGGGAAAAACAGATAAAGCAAGAATGGCTTAGTGAAAATTAGTTATATTCCATTTTATTTCCCTGCAGGCTCTTACGTTTCTGGTGGAAACTTGTCCTTCTGACATCTTCATGAGAAATTGTGGATGCATCGTCATGGTACCATGGACATTCAGAGCATTTTTACTGAAAACCAGTAAGTCACAGTAATTCAGGTGAACATGAAATGATAAACAGAGTCTTATACTGCAGTATACCACAGGGGCAAATACTAACAGTAAAAACAAACTTAATTCTTGTGATTATGTAACATTTATTTCCGAAGGAGAAGACACAAATGACAAAAACATAAACTGAAGTAGATAATGTTCTTTACCTGAATTAACTGGATTTGAAATACAAACAGGATTGAAGCTGAAGCAAAGTTTGTAATTTTATCCTCTATGGCAGTAACATATAGAAAAAAAAATGCTTGCTTTGTTTAACTACGTATTATTTTGCTTAAAAGTTTTAGCTTATCTTTCTGCAGATTAATTATGAGCAATTATTAGGAATTACATGTTTAATTTTTAAAGGAAATTTTCTTTTTACTTCAAGTTAGAATAATGAACACATTTATGAGCTCTTCCTTCTCAGTATTTTAAAAATCTATTTCAAAAATCATCATTATATTATACAAAACTAGCTGCTTTAATTTCTTGTAGTGTTCAGGATTCCCTCTGCATGTTTTCTGTTGGTTACAATGTTAGTCAAATTAAGTTCAGTATTTTACAGCTGTTGAAATAGTGTTTATAGATATCTTCACAGTCATGATACCAGTATTTTCAGTGTGGGTTTCCAGCTCAGAGAAAACATAAGTATCTTCTCAAAACTTCATATGTGCCACTGAATTTTGTGATCAGATCCATATTTAGGAAACCAGTGTAAACAGTCTGTACACTGAAACGTTAATCATGAAAATCTCTCATGGATTTAGGTGTCAGACTTCTTTCACTACTGAATGCTGCTTGTAGTGATTAGATATTTTTTTCATTAAAAGTTACAAGCTCAAAATCTTATTCCTGGACATTCTATTTGTTACCTAATTATATATGTTAAAAAAAAAAATAAAAAAAAAAATCCACAAACTAAACTGAGCAAAATCCAAATTTTAAAGGTATTTAATTGATCTGATTTAATTGACTCTTTAGCTCAGTTGTTGTTGTTTTTTAAATTGAATTGTGTGTGGTAGACCAGAAAATCTCCAACTGATGTCCCTTGGTGACTCATGGCCATTTAACTTATTGAATGGTATTGGCCAATTCTTATGTTTCAAGGTATTAAATCAAAGTAAGACTGTGGGGCATTTATGTTCTTTTGAATTCTGCATAAGTAAACAAAAAAGACAAAAAGGTGTTTTATACTATATACCTATATAGTATTAATGTTAAAAATGCCATCCATTTTGTTGCATTTTGAAATAACTCAATTAAAACAAAGACACTTACTATAAAAATTTTATATAAACCCCATAGTCCTATTATAGACTAAAGAGACTATTACCCAGGTTTATTTGCTTGATATGGTTTAGCAAATAACCTGCAGATATGATGAAATCCCAGTATTAGTGTTGTTTCCCTGTCCATCATTGGTAGTAGGACTTTTAAACACTTATGGTGGGATCAGGGTACTTTTCCAATGCTTAAGCATTGCCTGTAAACCAGTAAAGGACATCCCTAAATTTTTAACTGCTTTAAAGAATGCCCCATATCTTTAAAAGCGCTTGAACCATACAAGCAGAAATGGCTACTGTGATCACTGCAGCTCTAGGCAGCTTTATACTTCAATTTTCCAAACTGTCTAAGTAGCAAGTACTTAATTTCTAATTAACATCTTGCCATATTGTACCTGAATGAAGGCAATATTTTGGTACAGTTTGATATGATTCGGTGAAGAAAGCGATTGTGACAAAGAATTTTAAGAAGTCTTTCTCTCCTAAGACTCTCCTCTGCACCAATAGCTCTGGGAATCACTCGCTGTATTAGCAGATATTGTGTTTCTATTGCTCGTGCAGCTCCAGTCCGAAAAAGCTGCCTCTGATTCCTACAGGGAACGCAAACTTTCTTATTGCTTCATTTGGGGGATGGACGCACCAGTGTTGCCTCTCCTGCTGCCAGTGATTTGGAAGATGATTTACTTTGGTTATTGGTGCCAGTGGGCATGAAAACACTTCAGTATGAAGCAGCTGAGGATAATCTCTACAAAAGATATGTGACTGCTTATCCAGCAGATATAAACACCTATGTGCCAGATCTTTGCAGCTGGTCAAGATGGACTGAAGTGCTGCTTGTTGTGCACAGTGCACAGTGTAGCATACGTCAGTGGTTTTATTAGAGGAGAGTAACCATAAAGGAACAAAGAATGAAATACCTGCTTTTTTTTTTTCTTTACATTACATAATTCTTAGATAACTGTTTTTCATTATTTTGCTCCCATTCTACTAAAAATGTGTGAGATTATGAATGGTGTCACTCCATGCAACACTTCAGTAATAATTTTGGTCCATGAATAGCAGAATGAAATTATCTTGTACAAGAGCTAGCACAGTTACAACATGCACCAGTATGTGACGTTTATGTGTGAAAGTGTTCGCTTGCATTCATTCACAAAAAATAGGTTTCTGGCTGGCAAAATTTTACCTCAGTGATAACAAAAGTCCATAAAATGACTGTTCAGTAGGATGCATCCTGGTGTAATAGGTAAAGACCATAGCTATTTGATAGGATTAACTTGAAGGCACAATGAGTTCTTAATTTTTAAAATTCAGACAATACATTTATTTTGAGTGGCATTAGAGTGGAGTTGTGTGTTTTTCCTTTTCATGCCTGTTTAAATAAATATCTGAAGAAAAGTCAAACATGTGCATTGATATATGTGGGTGGAAGTTTTCTGTAATGTTTTAACTTCTTTAGATGCCCAGTATGGTTTCAGAAGTAGTCCAATAATTTCTTTGGTATTTAACTAGGGTGCTTCTGGCAAACTAATACCCATTGCACACAGTACTTCAACCTTCAGGTAGCAGCAAATATCAGTGTTTTATGGGTAATTTCTTACTTCTACCTGCTGTTATCAAAATGATCTATTTCTTTAAAGCTGAAGTCACATCAGATGGTATTGTGTTCACACTCCGTTATTTTGTTGAACTCAGTGACAAGTCACCCACTGGAATATGACAGCCATGCTGTAATGAAAGGAACCCCACGCTGCATTTCTAACCACGTGTGAAATTGCACAAAGGGTGATGTCTCTGCTGCCTGTAGGTGAGTACAGAGAGCAGTTCCAAAAATGCACAGCAAGTTTTCCAAGCTGAAGCAGGTGTCAGGATAAGGTTATTACATAACATTTGCTGCAGAGGAAGTGGTTTCTGACATTTTTATGCCACATGAGAACTTAAGTCCATGAAACAACTAGCACTGCATGCTAATTCTTGTTATGTAAGGTTAGAAGAGTATTAACCTGAAAGCACTTTTTGCTGTCACTACACATATTAACTGTACATTGTTCCTACAACTGGGGAAACATAGTAAGGGAATTGAAGCTTATGCTACCTATCTAATCTAGCGAAAGCAAAGCATCTCTGTGTAAAGGTGTCCAGTGAGCAGGGCATGTGCATCTTGAAAGAGTTTGAGGAGCAACCTATTTAATTACAGAAGTCCCAGCCAGAGTTACTATGGCAGCAAATGCATAGCTAAGTGGTCCATGGTTACCTGGGGAGAAAGTCTTGCTGCAGTCCCCTTACAGCAGTGGGGTCAGAACAGCATCTAATCTGTATGCTCAGAAAGTGGTACAGAAAACTGTAGCGCAAATACAAGCACTATTTCGTATGTGCACAAAATTTTATTCCTTTTGTTTAGGGTAAACTGATGTTATTGAGGATGTAGATGAATGGTTTCACTACAAAACATTAATATTGAGCCCATCTCTGGCAAATGCCTCTCATTCCCTCTATTGTCCTTCATCCCTCCAAGCAAACACATAGATGGTTATTTTTTCCAGAACAATTATATGGTTTGCAAAGTGAAGTCAAAAACCTCTGAAAGGCTTGGCAATAGCAAAAACTGACTTCAAACTGTTCAGCAGAAGTAAAATGAAGCAATGTCCAAAACCAACCTATGTATTGGCTAATATGTGAAATATTTGCTTTTTAATGTCTCTTCAAAATAATGGCATTATTTATAAAAAGAGAGAAAAGTTTGACCCCCAGTGTTGTAAAACTTTGATCTACACTATAAAAAAAGATAAAGTGATAAAGAGAATTGGAAATTTTAAGAGAAGTTATGAAAGTAGGAGTTTTTACATATTAATATGAAAATCATACAGGAGACATTTTATTCTGCTGAATATTGTCTACAGTAACTTTCATTACTGCTATCCAGCATCCAATTTGTCATCTCTAATCAGGCATCTTTATTTTATATTTTATGCATGCTCAATAACCTTTCAAATTACTCTCACTAGATGAAGAATGTCATGCCCTTTAAGACACTTTTCTTATGTGGAGAAGAACAACTTCTCAAGCAAGTTTTCCAAAATGATAAAAGTCTCCTGATAGCAGTAATTTTAAAGAATGACAGTATAGGTAGAATATTCCTGTCTTTTTTCATTTCTTTTTAGCCATGTGTTACATAATGTCTTTTTATTATACTCAAATCTTTCATTTTTGAAACTAACTGCACATGAAATCCTAGGCTTCTCAAGCTACTTTCACCATTTGGACTCAAAGCAAAGCAATTTTTCCTGCATCGTTTCTCCTTTGTTATCTTGTCTTTCCATCAGATTCTCCATTAGCTCAATTATAGGACTGCTACAATTTTTACTGCTGCTATTATGTATGGACTATTAAATCATTTACTATTCTCCAAAACATATTTGTGTATAAAGGTCTAATTTTGAAAGGTTGAAAACTTATCTCAACATTATCACAATGGTAATCAAAGAAGTAATTGCACAAAATAATCCAGAATAAGATGCACAGTAATTCAGCTTTAGGGACACAATCTATTTGCAGTTATAAAAGATAATATTTGTTTATATGGTTGTTTATTTTTCTTCCTGTGATTACCTTGAGATTTTCAATGTGGAAATAAAGAGAACTCACAACATAACATGAGATACTGCTGTAAAATTCAAATCAAATTGGTCATCAGGTAATTTAATTGATATGTTTTAATAAATTGTATCTTAGCCAAATGATGGGTATTTCAGCTGTGCACCGATGTGTTTGATGCAGTCTGTTGCTCAGTCCGCAAGGTAGTAAGAAAGGAATAATTGCTGCAAATGTATCCCTAAGCAGAGTGAACTGGAGACAGTGCAGATTCAACAGACCACTCTTCCCTCCTTGCCACAGCACTCTTGCAGATGTCTGCAAGGAATCAGTGGAGATATGAATTTCCTCAGTTTAACATTTTTTGTCCCATCTGCTGCACTACAGAGATTCCTAGTCACAGTGTTTACTGCTAAAATCCATCAGGTGTTGCACACTTTGCAAAAAACTTTGTGTAAACAACAGGGTATGTCATTATCACATGAGTATTAATTGCTCGGTTGTGGCATAAATACAGCGCTATCAACTTTTTTGCTCTTCCAATGAAGACATTAAATGGGTGGAATTAACTGTTTGTAAGCAGAAAAGTTCCCAATAAATTCAAAATTTCTTAAAGAACTGAGGACTTATGAAATATATTTAAGTCAAAATGATGCACAGAGAGAGTGATTCCATTTATACTCTGCAAGTGAAATACATTAAATTTGTACCCTAGCAAGCTTGGATAGTGTATGAATCATTGTAAGATTGGGTATGATGTGGTTGTTAATTTGCATGATTTAGGCAATATTCATTGTAAACAGTATGTATGATTCTTTCATTAATTCGCTTATTTTATTCTCTTTCAGTTCATAAATCTCCAGCAGAACATAGCCAAGTGGTAATCTTATGCTCAGATTTCATCCATGCATCTCAGTTAAAATAAAAAAAAAAAAAATACCCTGCATGGGCATATTCCTGTCTGCTTTGAGAGCAGCAAAGTATTGCAGTTCAGAAGCTAATACTTTATAACACTACAAAAATTAAAGAACAGACTTTAGTGGAATGTAAACATTGTCCATAATATAGGGTAAGATATAATGTATTACATTATACTAAAATGCTAAGTATAATTCACGATAATATATCGTTAGCTGTAAGAAGTTGTTTAGACTTGCTGTATCATAACAAATAAAACAAAGGGACTCTGTCAACCAGTGTATATTGGCTTAATGGCTTGTATAAGTTCTACTTAAATTATCAAGTAAAGTAAAAGACTAACTATAATGGCTTTTCTATATGGGGAAGAAAACATTTCCTTTTTATTCTATATCTTTGCAGAGCAACGTGCCCCAACTACTCAAATACACACTTTCAGAGATAATTGGGCCTTAAATCTACAAGATACTTATATGTTGAAATTGTATCATTTTTAAGTTAGACAAACGTTTTTTCCTTAAATAAACTCTTCTATTTCAATTGTAGAATTAGACACTTTGTAATTTTGCTCTTGTGTTTATCAAAGACACAGACAATTTTTTCATATGTAAAGTCTGCATAAACCATGGTCAAATTCTGCTCTTGGATGTCTATACAGTTTTACTTGCTATTGGTGAAAATAATGTGGAAAATGTATAAATGTCATGAGAGTGTCTAGGAAATACACTGAAGTCACAGGCACAAGAGTCAGTCAAAAGTGGATGATCGGAAATAGCTGTTTGGATGTTAATGTATTTGTTGGGTTAAAACATGCATGTAGTTTCACTGCTTATAAACCTGCAGGTTTTGCAGCTTTGTATTGCATAATCTTGAATCGATACTTCAAGGATAAAATTCTGTCCTTTATGCCACTGATTTTCATGGGCTTGTAGTCTCTCCAAAGACAAATAATGTTGGAACAAAATGATGATGTTAAGCAGTAAAGTGTCATCACTAAGAGGGTTTGCTCATAAAGGTCAAATATAAGAATATGTCACCTCTCTTTGATTAATCATCCATGGTCTTAGTAGATATTGATTACATTTAAGAGCCTGTGGGTAAGAGGCAATTTAAATTATCTTCAAACAACCATACAAGAAATAAGATTCATTTGAAAGTAGATATTAACAGGTGCCATTGCTGTGAATCCAGTTTGAGGAAGGGGAGATAGATAGGTTTACCTATTTTGTCAAAACTGATTGTAAGCACTGGTGGAGTTATCAGGAAGACAATAGTTGCCTATCATCTGCTCTACTCTGCCTGTGATTATCAATTACAGCAGTGTGACTATCCATCTTTTTTCTATTTTACCACCCAAATTCAAATCAGAGTGTGATCCTCAGCTTCTGACATCTGAATGAATAATAGTCTTGCTTCAGGTTTTGTAGGAAAAAAACAGAATACCTACACCACGCTATCAAATGCTTTTTCAAAGGCTTTTAGACATTTTATCACTCATTTACATTTTATTTATGGCAATAGAAATGTATCATCTGGAGTTGATGTACAATAATGATCTGCACTTCTCAAATTTTGTGTTACTCATTTAACTGTATCAGTTTCAAGTTTAGGGTTTTCTTTGCATAGGGTTGTTGTGGTTTGAGCCTACTCAGCAGCTAAATGCCACACAGTTGCTCACCCACCCTGCCCCCACTTGGGAATGGGGAGGGGATGGGAGGGGCAAAGGGAGACTCACAGGTTGAGATAAAAACAGTTTAATAACAGTAACAGAACAATACACTGACAGCAGTATCAGCAGGTAATGTACAATACAGCTGCTCACCACCCGCAGACCGATACCCACCTGCTCCCAGCCAGTGATCCCAAACACAAAGGCCCCACCGCAACACTCCCAGAAGTGAGAGCCCCTTTAGTCCCACTCCTGCCTTTATATAGTGAGCACAATGTCACATGACATGGACTATCGGCCAATCGGGGCCCAGCCCTCCAGCTGTGCTCCCCCCGCCCCCGCACACAGGTGAGGGCACTGGGACCTGGGGAGCCCCTGGGGTCTCAGGGTGCTGCAGCACTCCTCCCACTGCCAGACCAACGGGAGCTCTAGTCCAGCCGGAACCAGGACAAAGGTTTGCAGATGTTTAGCAAATATTGTATAGCATAATTGCATAGGGAGACCCTGGATCTTTGTTTACAGAAGGCTAAGCTGTGTTGTTGAAACAGGGTGAAATATTCCCTCCCCATTCTAACACTCTCTATTAGCAATTCCATGATAATAAGTATATAACTGAAGGGAAAAGCTATTTTTGTCCCGATTTCATAGTGGGGAAGTCTTATGCACTTTTAACACTTCTATTTGCAAAGAATCACCTAAAATCTTCTGCTGTTCTGTCAATATAGAGATCTGCAGTTTCTGAATAGTTGTTTACAGAATGTTAATTGTCTTTTAATGATGGTATGCATTTTTCAATGTTTATTTCCATTAAGAATCAAATATAGTCTGTATCATTACAATTTTTGAAAGCAAACTCTAGTAGTCTTTCTGGTTTATAACCTCATGGTATTTCACAACTACAGTACTGATGCATTGGACATTACTGTTTGGAAGTTGTTAAAAAAATAAACAAACCTGCATGTGGGTAAAATACCAGGTTGTCTGAATAGAAAGAGCAGTATATGAAGACAGTATGTGTGCAGACCATCTATGGGCACACACAGGTGATCTGAAATTCCCCAGACATGTCCCATCCATATACATACGCAATTTTTCATATTTGCATGTTATTATATGATATCACTGCTTTTGACTATTAAGCATGTTAAAATGGAGCTTTTATGCCAGTAATGCCGTCTTTGTGGTCATAATCAGATTATTCAATTACTTTGAGTTCCCCTACCCAAAAACAATAATTCACATGAGCAGAAGTAGTAAGATTTTGTGCTTTTCTGAGTGGAGAAGCCAGCCTGTCTGTTGCAATTTGTTATATTATTTTAAAGATTACTTCTGAAGTTTTGGAAGTATGAATACTGGTATATAGATGCCACTTCTCTGATATTTTAAAATAATATTTGGAGAGGGAAATCAAGCTTTGCATCTTACTTGGATATTAAATTTTGTGTCTCATTTAAAGTTCCTCCATGACCAAAATTGTGCCCTGTAAATTGATTTTTATAGCAGTAAGTTTAGTGCCAAGAGCACTATGAAATCTTCTCAGTGCTATGTAGTTTATATTTTCACAGTAACAATTCCTATTCAGTTTTGTCAAATACATCAACTAAAAAGTGTCCATACTCAAAAAGTCCTCTAATAAAATTTAGACAACAATTGGATACATTTTAAGGTCTTAATTGTTTTATAAATGAAATACAAGTATGTCCACATATAAGTTAAACAAAGGGATGTGTGTACAAGTTGTCTCCAATGCAACTCAGTATTTTTTTTTAAAATGAACAATAGGGCATTGATTTTAAAACCAACAACTTTTGGAAAGTATTCATATTAATTACACAAAACAAATGGAAGACGGTCTGAAAGCACAGCCACATTCTTTTGCATTCATAAAAAGTGCAAACACATGAATTATTTTGTGTGTTATCTCTTTTAAATATTTCCTGGATCTAGCTGAGAAAGGCAGTGACTCATGGTGATATTATAAGACACAGAATTTCTATTAATTGCTAAAACTGTTTTGTGCATTTGTCTCATGAATTAAGCATTTTTACTTAGATTCTGGTTATTTTTCCACCTTTCATTACTAATGTACTATCAAATCATTTTCTCTCAAAAAAAAAGCAAGACTGACAAACATTTAACATCAAGAAGGTGTATTTATTTATTTATGAATATTTTGAGCGTAGAGGTAATAAGAGTACTGACAAATTTCATGTTTCATTGATAAGTTACTTTGACTTTCAGAATATACAAGTATTTAAATTTAAAACAACAATTTACTCCAAAGTGTTTTGGCATGCCAAAGGAAAATGAATAGTGCATAAGTATTAATAATGTTTCTGATCTGTCAGTTCTGCTTTATCTGCTGCTCCAGTGATTTAAGTTGGGATATATTGGATTTGTTTTAATTTTTAAATATTTCCTTTGAAGTAATGAATCACATCCACATGTACCAACACCTATTCACATGCTGTGATTAGAAGTGATACATTGAGCAACATGATCTACTTGAAGATGTTCCTGCTCATTGAAGGGGGATTAGAATAGATGATCTTTGGACGTCTCTTCCAACCCAAACTATTCCATGATCCTATGAATCTATAACACACTACATAATAAAGTTTTGCAGTGATATTTACCTGAGTATACCTTAATAGATAACAGTAGATTTTCTTTTTCAGATCCATTAACTGGCTGCAAATGTGCTATGCGGTTTAATGTTGGTACTAAATCAGCACAGTTTTCCCATGCCATACTTCTGCCTGATGTATTTCATGATCAGGAGATGATGATGATGATTTTCTAATCAAAGAGAGTTTATTTATTAAATACTATCCCATAATCACACTGAAAAAAAAATATGTGTGTTAACAAAATTGTGGATTATTTGATTAATATAAACCAGATGAATTGCATTGAGAAGAGTTGAAAAGGAGGCTTTTTTTCTTTTTTTATATATAAATCACTTCAGATAATAATTCAGAAGTTTCTCACAAAAGATCACTCCACTTAACAAGCTGAATGAGCCAAAAAAATAGTATAGATTATACTGAAAGATAAGTAGATATTTCACACAAGAAAATTAATATTGAAAATCATAGAATAAGGTGGTAGATGGTAAGGCAACTGTAATTTGTTTGAGTCACTTAATAGAGCTGGACAGCCATTTGTGGATGTCTTAGGTTGAAGAATTTTGCAATATGCCAGAAGTTTTATTGATTCACCATCCACTGTTATAGGTATTAAACTTCCGGAATTTATTATTATTAATGTGAAATATGATTTTTTTTTTTTAATGGTAGGCAGTGGTTGATTGCCTCTGTGTCATGATGATATTGTCTAAATGTGACTAAGGCAAGTCTTACTTGGGAAACTGGCTTGATTACCTTATATGCTTTTGCAATATGGGACAATCTGTGCCAGAGGAAGCGCACGTGAAGTGCCACAAGCAAGAGGACAATGAAATGAGAAGTGATTGGAGATTAAATATAAGAATCTGCATAGCTCTTGTCCAGGATGATAGATCAACTCAATATTTAAAATCTCCTCTTATGCTGTGGGTAATAATAAAACATAATGGGAAATACTTTGGGGAGTTCCCAATGAGCA